TTTCCCAAATAAAATATTCTAAATGCATTGATTAATAACTACAAAACTAACTTGTTCTACTTTTCCCTCACAGTGGACCTCCACCTGAGCCTGACAGCGAGGTCTGAGGTCGATCTCAGCAAGTGGCTCCAGCTTTCCATACTTGGTTACCAAGGAATGGTATCTGTGGAGAAGAGCAATTTGTGAAGTTGATTTTAACACTATTATGCACACATTTCAACACATTAAAACTAGAATTTTGCCCAGATACAAGGTTCAGCATACCTATAAGGAAGCTCCTCCTTGGGGCAGTCCAAGTGGTAGCGGATGAAGAACCTTTCCGCATCCTCTCGCTCACTATCAGTCACAACGCTGCCGTTTAGCAGTGATATGGAGGGAAGCCTGATGAGAAGTATATAAATGGTATGCATTTAAGTATCAAGTATTTGAGATTTCAATCTGAAAATGTAAAACATGACTTACTTTTAAAGCTCAGTGGACAAAGCCTTTCCATGACTAAATAATTCAGCTCCTCGCAGAGCTTTTTCTTATAAACAGAGGAAGTAATTTCTCTCAGATCGATTGATGGGACTTACTGAGCTATCATGAGGCTGCGTCGCTCTGCGTTGGTGTATGTCTGTAGTAAAGGAATGCCTTGCAATCGTACCTCCTCCAACTTGGGGAAGTAGTTTAGCTTCTCAATGTCCTCCCACTGATTGAGACCTACAAGACAAATAACACAAATTCTACAGACTTCCACATGCTAAAGGTGTACTACTTCTGATGTGCAGTAGTCAAGTCAAGTCAAATTTATTTATAAAGCACAGTTAAAATAGTAGCTGTTACCAGAGTGCTTATATAATGTATATTCTATGTATTCTACTTTGAATATAGTAGAACATAGTTTGGTTATGGCAGTGCTTCTCAAGTATTTTCTGTTATGCCCCTCCCAGAAAGAAGAAAACATTTTGCGCCCCCCCCACCCACCCCCCCGCCGCGACTGTAAATAGTATGTCTATAAAATTGTTATAAGTACACCTCTGTCTAACATTGTGCCCTTATTAACATTAAAATAAAAAAAAGAATATAGATCAACTTCCAAAGAAGAATAACTTTATTAACATTGATTTTTTTAGTCTGTAATAGAAACAACTTACAGTGTGTCAATTTGCTTTGAAAAAAAAAATCCTTTTTTAAACTGTAAACATTTTGGACCACTTGATACTGAAAAATAAAAATTAAATATAATCAATAAATAATAAATTCAAATTGATCAGCAACATTTTAGCTCAGGAGTGTTGTATAAAACACTTTGACCTCAAAACCAAAAATGAATAAAACAATTTATGCTGATATTTTTAATCAAAATGAGGAAGTCTGGATCAATGAGCACACTCATCAATAAAACAAAAACAAAATATTGTCAACATGAAAGAAGAAAGAGGGGGCAGGTGTCGCTCTCGCTTTGAGTTTACTCTTTGTCACCTGCGTGCTGTGAGTGACGTCCAGAGCGTCTAAAACAGCAGCTTAACTGAGGAGGTGAATTTATTTTGTTAGCAAACAATAGAGTCCTAACATTTATTAAACATTACTTCTGTAAATCGTGCTTTAACAAACTTATTGATAAAACGAAAACATTTAGTCAACGCAAAAGAGGAAAGAGGGGGCAGGTGTCGCTCTCGCTTGAGTTACTCTTTGTTGCACTCACTGTGAGTGACGTCCAGAGTGCATGGACATAAAAACAGCAGCGGAGGACGGAGGAGGAGACGGTCGGAGTTTATTTATCATGTCAGCAGCAGAGGGGAGAGACACGGTTCATGCATGGCTCCCAATACAACAAGGCAGCCATATTTGTTCATACATTACTATTAGGAACGCACGAGACAAAATGAGAGTGGTGAAAAAAAAACCTACTCCCTGCGGCAAAAAAAGCATGTTTTCTAGGGTCACATGCGCCCCCCTGGAATTGCCCCGGACCCCCCCAGGGGGGCGCGCCCCACTATTTGAGAAGAGCTGGGTTATGGGAAGGGAAAGGAAGTCTGAGATTGTCATCATTGTATGTTTATTTACAATAGTGAAATTAGTTCTCTGCATTTTACCCATCACACGTGAGATACACCCAGGTGGAGCAGTGGGCAGCTATGTAGGCACTTGGGGAGCAATTGGGGATTAGGTGTCTTGCTCAGAGACACCAGAACATGTAGGAATGACTGGAGTTGAACCGCGACTTTCTGGCACCAGTTCGGCTGCCCTGCCTCTACCCCATCTCAGCCCCCCATACAGTGCATATAAAATATCTTCCTTCATTGGATATTTTATGCTTTTATTGCTGAGACAAATCAATCACGGTCAATATACATTGGGACAAAAAATTTTATAAAACCTCCTTCAATGTCAAAGACAAATTTAATTTCTACAAAGTAATACCTATCAAATAAAAATGTGTGGGCGGCACAGTGGTAAAGCAGCCAGCTATCAGCGAGAAGGTCACTGGATTGAATCCCGGTCCAGGGGCCATTCTGGGTGAAGTTTGCATGTTCTCTCTGTGCATGAGTGGATTTTCTCTGGTTTCCTCCCACAGACCAAAAACATGCATGTTAAACTGATCGGTAACTAAATTGTCCCTGGGTGAGAGTGAGAGAGGGAGTGGTTGTCTCGTTTGTCTCTATGTGTCCCTGTGGACAGGAGACCTGTGCAGGGTGTCCCCCGCCTCTCGCACAGTGATGGCTGGACATGGGCACCAGCGACTCCTGCGTTCCGAAAAGGAAGAAGTGTGTAAAAAATAATGGATGGATAGACGAATGAAAATGTGAAAAGTAACATTAAATGACTGCTTTGTTATTCACCCCATTTAAAGTCACTTACCCTGTACAACACGGAGACAAACTTAGCAAAAAGTGCAAGTCATGGGATGGACACAAAATGATTTTCAAGGTCCTAAACATTCCCAGGAGTTCTGTTAAATCTGCCATAAAGAAATAGAAGGAATATGGAAAACGTGAATTTATCAGGAACAAGCCACCTGTACAATCTGAGTTGACAAGGGCCGGCTGCAAAGAAACACTTGAACACAGTTTTCCACATGCTGTTTGGTAAACTTTGAAATTTCATCCATCCATTATCTTCCGCTTGTTTTGAAGTAGGGTTGCAGGAGCAGCAGCTTGAGCAGAGAGGCCCAGACATCTCTCTCCACAGCCACCTCTTCCAGCTCTTCTGGGAGGATCCCAAGGCATTCCCAGGCCATCCGAGAAACATAGTCTCTCCAGTGTGTCTTGGGTCTTCCCCGGGGTCTCCTCCCAGTTGGACATGCCTGAAGCATCTCCCTAGGGAGAAGCGCCCAGGGAGCATCCTTACCAGATGCTTGACCTCAACTGGCTCCTCTTGATGTGGAGGAGCAGCGGTTTTACCCTGAGTCTCTTCCAGATAACTGAACTTCTCACCCTGTCTCTAAGGGAGAGTTCAGCTACCCTGCAGAGTAAACTCATTTCAACCCCCTGTATCCGCGATCTCATTCTTTTGGTCACCACCCTAAGTTCGTGACTATAAGTGAGGGTAGGAACGTAGACTGACCGGTAAACAGAGAGCTTTGCCTTACAGCTCAGCTCCATCTTCACCACAATGGACCGGTACAGAGTCCACAATACTGCAGATGCTGCAACAATCCATCTGTCATTTTCACGCGCCATTCTCCCCTCACTCGTGAACAAAATCCCGAGATACTTGAACTCCTCCACTTGAGGCAGAACCTCACCCTTGACCTGAAGAGAGTGATCCACCCTTTTCCGACTCTGAAATTTGATCAGAGTTTTCTTCAGTGGTGTATTTTTATCCTTGCTCTCACATAAAGCTCACTTCCCAAAGAACTCTGGCAACACAGCTGAAGGTGGATGAAGATGCTTCATCCTTGCAGGACATGCAGTCTGTGTCTCTGCTAGCAGCGTGTGCACGAGCTGTTGCGACTACTGCAGCAGTAAGATCCACTCTACAGACATGGACAACGTCTCCTGTCATTGTATTTTTAATAAATAATCAAAATAAAAATGTGCAATGCCTTTGGACTTTTATGGGCGGAGATATGAGCAGCCAGATATGAAGGAACAGTTGCCGGAACCCACACGGTAAAAATGAGAGTGTTCCCGGATCTTATTCTGGCAGGATCCGGCTCAAATTAACCACTGGCTATGACCACACCAAATTTTATAGTCAATTATGTGTTTGCTGAGGTAGCTGTGGCAGCCATCTTGAACCAAAATGGCTCCAAGGTTAATCAGTAGCTGTGTCCCAATCCAGCGACCGAATCCTTCGTCAAAAACCCAGCCTACGTCGACCGGGTAGGCCGGGTCCTTCAAAGACCACGTAGACCGGAAGTCAGCGGCTGTGAATTGGGACAGTCTAACCTTCAGGGTTACGTTGGCGTATGTCCTGTCACCTAGCAACCGTGACAGCGCTCGGCCGAAGAAAGAATGGATATCGAAATTTTGTTGTTGTTTTTACTGCTTTTTTAATTCTAGAGGAAATACAGGAACTTTATCGCTGCTAGTGGCATGTTTTGTATCTTCTCTGAGAGACAATCATATTCATGTAACTTACATTTTTGTTCTTCTACAAACTTTCAAGGAATAACTGTTAACTTCTGCTAGTTTCATGGATAATTTCAGTGACTGACAGACAAATGTATTAACTTAATTAACTTGTGCATAATAAATAAAATCTAAATTTATCTTATTAAATTATTAATAATTTAATAAAATGTAATATATTATAATCTTTAACTTGTCTTAAGGCAGCACGGTGGCGCAACTGGTAGAGCTGCTGCCTCTCAGCGAGCAGGTCCCTGGTTCAAACCCCGGTCCAGGGGCCTTTCTGGGTGGAGTTTGCATGTTCTCTCCGTGCATGCGTGGGTTTTCTCCGGGTACTCCGGTTTCCTCCCACAGACCAAAAACATGCATGTTAGGCTGATTGGTAACTCTAAATTGTCCCTAGTTGTGAGTGAGAGAGTGAATGGTTGTTTGTCTCGTTTGTCTCTATGTGGCCCTGTGATGGACCTGCGACCCGTCCAGGGTGTACCCCGCCCCTCGCACAGTGACTGCTGGACATGGGCACCAGCGACCCCCGTGACCCAAAATGGAACAAGCGGGTAAAGAAAATGGATGGATGGATGGAACTTGTCTTAAATTTAGAATACAGCATAACATTTTCCAATATTTTATTTTATAAGATCCATTGGTACATAAAGTGGCTGTAAAAATGTTAAAAACAGGGTCTTTCATACCTCATAATTGTGACAATACTTTGATATCTTATAAAAAATTAAATGTTAAACTAATAATGTTTTTGTTGTTCTGCACATTTCCTTAACCAGACCAGACCCTTGTACTGCAGGATTAACCTGAGTGTCCCAGTCCTGGACCGTTACTTTAACCAAGAAGATCCTAGACTGGATTTCCAATGAAGCAGGGATTCTCGGGCGATGTTGCTTCATCTCCTGGACCTGGATCCATGACATGGTTGGGGGGCCACAGCTGAGACCCTGGTGTTTCTTTTCTGGCTGGCAGGTGGAGCATCCTGCAAGGTGGTCTCAAGAGTGTTTGTGACGCCTCGTTCTACTGTCCACTGCATCGTCCATCATCTGACAGAAGAAGTGGTCATTCACCACCAGGTCATCCACCTGCCTAAAAACCCAGAGGACCTGGAGGTGGTGTCCCATGGGTTTGCAGGGCTGG